AGAGAGAGAGAAAAAGAGTGAGAGTGTGTGTGTATGTGTGTGTGTGTGTGTGTGTGTGTGCGTGTGTGTGTGTGTGTGTGTGAGAGAGGAGAGAGAGAGAGAGAGAGACAGAGAGAGAGAAAGAGAGCTGCAGGATGCAGCATGTCAGTGGCGGGGAGCACAAGGGCAGGCGCTGACCTCCAACAAAAAGAAGAAGTAATTTTATCGGAATACAAGAGTTTTTTCTTTTTGAAATCCGAGTAGAAAGGATACAGGTTGTATTCCAATACAATGTGTGCATTTTCTATTCGAGGAACTTTGCTATTCGAGAAAAGTAGACCCGCACCGTTTCAATTTCGAAAAAGGACTGCGGCCTCCTCGGCCTCCTATGCGCAGCTACCGGTCCTACGCGGTCCTGGACCAAACCCCGTGCGGTCCCACGGGCAGCTACCGGTCCTGCCGTTTCAAATAAGATGCCACCACCCCCTAAACTGCCATGCCTTGTTTTTCTAGCCTTCCAACGACCGTATAATGAACGACGACGAAAAATGTTCTCAGGGGGGGGAAACGCACCCCTGACGGGCTGTTTTGACACCGCCATCTTTGGCGATTTTTAATTCTTATTTGGCTAAGCCAAATGACTTGAAAATTTGTAGGCATGTACCTCACGTCATGGAAAAGTTGTACAAAAAACTTCAGAAAAAAAAAAAATATATTTAGGCCCCGAAATAATTTTTGGCGTCGGCCGAACGCCGTCGGGTTCGACCCCGTACGGGACCCCGAACGCCTTAACGTACGGAGGTCCACCCGGCAGCCTCAGTACGTACGGGTTGGTAGCCATGTATATATATATATATATGTGTGTTATTATTGATTTTGTATTTTTTTTTTGGTTCATTGCTTTGAAGTTCACCTTATCAGACTTGAAGTTTATAACATTAAACTTGATTTTTTTGCAGATATGGGTAATTACATTCATAGGTAGAAAAAAAAACGGGTCTCATCATTGATATTACTGCTAAGGATTTCTGTAACCATTATGTTATAAGCAACAATTTTTCCATCTAATATAAATGTCCAGACTTAAAACATTTTTTATTAAAATACAGTTAACAATATTTTTTTCATAAAATTATTATTGAAAAAGTACTACTTGATATTATAATAACAATAACAATAACATAAATAATAATAATCGTTTGTATTTGTAAATTAAGTGTAATTCTCATTATAAAAAAAACAAAGTTGAACTCCCCAATTTTACAACTTAACCTTTCAGAAGATGAACAAATTCTTAAAAAAAAAAAAAAAAATGAAAAATAAATCAAACAAAATTTAAACACGCATATTTTAATATTTTCTTAATCGATAAAAAAAGGACTCCGATAGAAAGAATCTTCGATTACTGATATAATTATACTTGTATTATAATATATATATATATATCGTCAAATAGAACTGCCCGGTAACCCGTAGGCAGAGAGGGAGAAGAGGACAACAAACGAGGGGCTGTGACAAACTGTTTCGTCGGAGTTTCACCGACTCATCAGGAGG